AAAATTATCCTTAGGACTTGATCTTTAAAACCTCTAATGTAAATAATGGTTGTTAAACTTGAAGCCAGCAGTGCTAAAAAAAAAAAATAGTTTAATATCCATCTTGTTAAACCAATACTTAATGATTTACCTTTTAAATGATGTGAAAAGACTTATGAATACATAAAAGATGTGAATGAGGAATGAAATTCAGATAGTTACATAAAAAGGCACTATTTGATTATCCAGTATGAAGCGCACACGCACACACACGCCAACACATCTTGCCTTATCAGGGGAGGTTTCAGCCAAAAGCAGCTGTGACCAAGTCTTCGGGAATGGAAGTCAGAAACCACTAATTTAAATTTTTCATTTGTTTTTTGGAACAATTATGCCACCCACAAAATGGTAACTTTGCAAATCGTCATTATCTCATGAATTTTGGAACGTATCCCTTAAATAAAACCATCTCATTTCCATATAATTACAGCAACTAATAAGGTCCTTAAAAATATTTTTTTTTTTGCTCAAAATTTAAGAGTGTAATAAGGATTCCACGCTACTGGCATACTGATCAAATCTGGAATTCGTTTCCTTAAAATAAGAGCTTCACATGAATTTAAGAGAGCTTGCCTTGAGAAAGAAATCTCCATGGTTTTCCAAGTTCTCTTCGATTGCTGTTCCCGCATGTGATCCCTTCTGACAGGATTCACCTGTCATATTCTCCATCCCTGTTATGTAGTAATTTACTGCATGTCATTTAGATTCATTTGTAACAAAACATAATGGTAATGACTTCAAGCTTTAAAAAGGAGAATCTGCACTAACAAGTGCCTTCCCGAGTTATTCTCTCCTCCTGTCAGCCTCAGGAAGATAGAAACAACTCCAGAGCATTTAGAGAGACTCTAGTGGACCTAATTCCCCATAACAGATCACTCAGTACAAACTAATTAGGACGAGTTAAATGTTTCCACTGAAAACACAAAAAAAGAGGAAGGTTTTTCTCTGCCGCCCGCTGTTTTCCACTCATTTCCTTCCCCAGAACCTTGTCGCTTACCTGTTTTCCTAACAGACTGATTTAGAGGTGAAACTTGATGGTCCAGCCACAAGCAAAAGGGTAAATGCTGACGTGAGAATGTTCTCAACATCCCAGGGGAAAAACAAAAGTCCTTTTTATAACAATGTACAAACGTATCTATTACAGGCTGGGGAATAGGTTTCTGGACTAGAATTTTCCTACCAGATTTTTTCTAGCTGTTGTATCACAAGTTTCCTCAATTAAGTATTTCTCGTTGGGACTGGCATCCTGCTAAGTATTTTTTCTATTTTTCTCAGGCATTTTAAGGAAGACAGCTGATCCATAAGGAACACTAAGCTGAACTTGAATGACCCTTTCACACTTTCTAGATTGTATTTGCCCCTTTCTCGGGGTTTATTTAATACACTGTTAATAGTAGCATTTAGAGTGGGCTCTAATATTTGCCTCTCAGTTCTGCTCATTTGTTTAAGGTGTATCATTCCCTTTTTCCAGGTTATGCTCATGGAGCAAGCCCCAGCCTCTGATTGGCTGTAAGCTCCCCAGAGTCTCCAGCTGGTGGACTCAGGCCTGAAAACATCTTTAATTTCAGCCACACAGAATTTCGTCAGTGCAGTTGGCCTCCCGTTTTCTCTCCGGATGGCAAAGGATTGAGACATGGCACCTCCCTGGCCAACCATGGACAATTTGTGAGGTTGACATGACCACTGGCAACAACTCACCACTCCAGCAGTGGAGAAACGTGGTGGGCCAGATGGAAAGCGGGAGATGATTCAGGCATACGGCACATAGAGCTGGAGACAGTACATGGTTACAACCTTCTGCCAGGCTCTGACAAATAGCCGGCATGCACTCAAGCAAAGAACATGCCCTTCATACCAGCACACTCCTCTTAACCAAACTGTAACCCAGCAGCTCAGGTCTGTTGTACTGACAACCACCCACAGCCTCTCTTCCTTAATCTGAGGAGAAGCCTCCCAGCTGCCTTGCTTTTATTTCTGGATAAATTATTAATGGCTATTCATCCTTGGCACACGTAATTTTTAACTATGGAAAATATTTATGGGGGTGGGGAGGGAATTTCATACGTATTTATTCTTTTTCCTTGCTTTTACTGTAAATCCCAATCAGGCTGCTGACGGGGATTTTCCTTGCTTCTTTCTCCTCTGTGAACCTTATTTTTAACTCCAAGTAATGAATGCAAGATCGATAGCATAAGTAACAAAAGTATCCACGGTGACTGAACAGCAAACTCTTAAATCACTGCACAGTAAGTGCAAATGAACAATTATTGAAAACACTGCACTAAAATTTCAATAGGAGATAAGAGTGAGGCTTAAGTCATTAAAAGGGTCCATTAGTCTTGTAAGTCTGAGGCATCACACTCAAAACATGAGCTATTCTTGAGAACTGGAAATATTACATATTCCACCCACTTGCACACACACGGAACTGACTCCAACTGAGCAAGGATGGGGTCCAGTTGTCCAGTCCCTAAGGCAAAAGAGACACACAGAAAAGCAGGTAGGCTGAGCCAGCCTGTCCAGGCAATGATTCTTCAGTTATATTTGAAGGGGGGTATTGAGCAACACTGACAAATTAGATTATTTACAAGGGAAATAAATATCCTGCTTACATATCAGTTTACCTGGCGCTACAGCATCACCATGCTCCTCATCACTCCCTGCTGGAGATGCAAATAAAAGTCTGCTGCCACCTCAACTCCATGCCCACGAATCACCAGAAAAGCCCCACTTTCTCTTTGGCCATGTTCTCCCTGACTCAGTTCAAAAATGAAGAAGTAATAGGCAACTAAACTTCAAAGTGGAAGTGTTGTTTTCAAAAATTACCTGAAATAGCTAAAATTTTGGAAATACCAGCAAACACACAAATACACACACGCGTGCGCGCGCACACGCATAGTCTTAGAGATTTGCAAACATTAGGATGCTAATGAATCTTGAAAATGCCTGGGTTGTTTTGCTCCATTCTTCTTGCCCTACCTCTTATACCATGCATTTTATTAGAGACAGGTGGGCTCTCAGAGTTCTGAATGTCTAACAGCTTGAGCCAGGGGCTGCATAGCATAACCTGAAATAAACGGCATTCCTGAATACCCACGATTTCCTCCAGGAATAGAAAAACGTTTTTCATGCCGGAATTATGGTAAGACTGAACCCTGTTCATGACACAGAGGACAACTTTAGCTTTGCCTTTAAAAGAGTATAGTTTCCTCTGAAGTAGGACATCACATTTCAATTCGTACTATTAAAAACTTGCATTACACAGTGAAACTAATTGTCCTGTGAATCACCCTGCTTTACAAGACAGCTGGACTAGCCTACAGTTAACATGAGCTAGCCCAGTGAACATTTCTCCAACAGCCACATGATAATCCAGGACAGCACGGATGGCCACTGACCAGTACTTTTAGACTATGCCACTACTCTGGCCAACCCTCCTTCCTCACCACAACCACATAAGGAATTGTTGCAAGAGGCTAAAAACTTAAGCTAAAATTATACTTCCTACTTCTTACCCCTCAATATCATTACAGATGCCGGAATTTTATTTTGTCCAAAAGATATATTCCTTTACAAGATTTCCCATTTATCAAAAATATATTCACAAGAAACACTTGGTGTTTTATCACCTGCCAATAAACAAGCTTACCACCTCCATCACTACCCCTGGAAAGAGGTGTTGTTTAACTCTGGATTCAGCTTAAATTTGGCTATGAAATGATGATTGTTTCTTCTAAATCAATTTTAATTATTTTTAAGACTTCTTTTCTAAGATGACACACATTATAGGGAAATCAAAACTGCTGTCAAGACAACTAAAGGCATTCAGCTTTCCCAACTTGTGTTCCTTCCATACTTTCACAAATGTTTCAAAGTCTCAAGAAAACAAACAAAGCAAACAGTATACACAGATAAATGCCCAAGAAACTAATACTCCCCCAGCACAAGTTTACCTAAGCCCCTCTTTAATCTGAAAAATCACTCTCGATCTCAGATTTAAAGCAAACCAAGAAATCACCCAGAGCATTTGCATCTTGGAATCTTCCCTGGCCCCTCTCCAGCTGTTCTCACAAACCTTTTAATATCATATAGATGCCCTCAGATGATGACGCGGGATGGAACTTACAGAAGGAAAGCATAACTTCAGGGAGGAGGGAAGGTTATTCAGTCCCAATCCTTGGCTTCTTCTCATTTAGTGAAGGGGTTGTGCCTTCTCTCCCAGCAGTAAGTTGCAGCGTTACAGTGAGAACATACAGCTCCCAGCCCTCTTAGAGTGCTCCAGGGATAGCCCACATCTAAGCCTCAGCATGTTTTCTGGAAATGCAGGGAGCTCAGCTGAAAATCTTTAGGGAGCTTTCCACCGTGGCACACAACTAAACTGCACAAATATTTAACAGCTTCGAGATCTCTAAAGGTTTAAAATAATATGCATTTTGTGCTAGGCTGTTGTAGCTAGAAGGAAAATGGGATGGTATGGAGGAGCGTCCTCAGCTGCTCAACCACGGCACACCAAAGAATGTTTTCCCTTTTTGTCTCAGAATTAGGGAAAAACCAAAATGCCTACTGAAACATTGATACCAACTAAGCTTTCACAGCATCAGTAGTATAGGAACTTAGTTTTACATTCCATTGAGTTAGCCCATGACTTCCCACGCCGCACCATTTCTCCTTCTTCACCTAGCTAAAAAAGCCAACTTCACGCAGACAAATCATGGCAAAGTTTATCCACCCCCACCAGTTTCCTTTCTTTTCCAACTTAAACTCATCCACGACTAATAAACAGCCCCAATTGTAGCACAAAGGAAGCTCTGACGGCTGCACCAGCTTGGTCCTCCACTTGCCAACTGGAGGTAGGGTTAATGTAATATATTCTCGCGGCTTAAAGATGTTTTTAAAGGGCTGCTCTGCCCTGGTGAAGAGCTGGACACCCCCAGAATTACATCATCAGCTCTAACACTCACCAAAATACATTATGTTTCTCATTAATCAGACAGCTGGAACCCCACCGCGGCGTCTTCAGCATCAGCTCGCACCCAAGGCTGACACGCAGAGCAGAGCCGTTTCATGCTACACTCGGTGGAAATGTCCCCGGCGTGGAGAGCAGCGAGCGCCGAGCCGGCGTCCTCCGCGGGATGAGCGCCTTGCAGGCTGCCTTTCCCGGGCTACGATCCCCGGCGGCTGGAGCGCGCGCTCCGGCTGCCTGCTGCACTGCCCATCCTTACTGTAATCCGACTCCTCCTTGCGATGTCCTTGCCGCGCCTGTGACATCAGGACTGAGAGTACTACAAACAGACCCCCCCACCCCACCCCACCCCACCCCCGGTTAGCAGCGGCTCCAGGAGGTGCTCCGTTTGCCTGCCTGGACCAACCATGGCTCTCGGAAAGCTTTGACGAGCCCAGAGACCTGGGAGGGGGCGGAGTGAGGGGCGCGGGAGGTTCTTAAAGAGAGAAGGGTCTCTGGATCCACAGGGGAGCACACAGGGGAAATTCACCACGGTGCGGGAGGGGAAGTGGTTAAGGCGAGTTCTGCCATTAACGTGTAATTATAGACACACTTTTATCCCGCCCCTCCCGTGAATGTCATCATCTTCGCCAAAATTTAGCCTACCACCTCAAGTTAAAAAAGCAGTGGGAAAAGGAATGGTGCCCTGTGTCTGCATTCTCTTTGCTGTGGGCTTGAGGGTTTGTTGTTTGTGATGTTTATGCCTAAGAGAAATAAAACATTCAAGGGATCATTGCTAGGGCAATAGAGGTTTTCACTTTAGAAATGATCAGATCACAGAAACCTAGTAGTTGGTAAAGAGTTCTTTTTATTTCTCGAGTATTTTCTGAGCTAGGTTGATAGAGAAATCTGAAGAAAAATAACGTGATAAAAGTCACCCCTCAGTTTCACAAGATCACATTTGCTGCTTCCCATAGTAGGTAGTAGAAAGGACTCTGAGCCTGAAATGATCTTTGACCCCTAAAGAGGAGAGACAATTTAGCCTGAAAGACAACCAAGATTGTGTCATAATTCAAGTCTGGTCACTAGTATAATATAGATACACCCACGCACAAGCGCACACAAACTCGCATTAAATTCAAGATGAACTATCAAGAAAAGCAAAGCTTAGCAAAGCCTCTGGCTCCTCCAATAGTCTAATGAACTGCAGTCCTTATCTTACATAGAAAAGGATGTTAGAAAGAAATCCCTGGAAGCAGTGCTGATTAATACTTAAATGCTCAGCATGGAAAATAACCCATAAAATAAGTTCAGTTTCCTAGGGACTCATCACTTTGGGATCCAACTTAACCACTGGACTATTGAAACTTAAAAATTTCCACAAAAATCTAGAAAATTAAGAACTGAAGATAACAAAAGAACTATAGCCTATGGAAGGAAGCAGTTGATATATTTTCACTACAGGTTTTTATAAGCCATGGTAACAAATATTTCTACATTGTGATAGTAAAATAATCAGTGGTTTTTCCTTGCACAATCCTGTCTCTATTGGTAGATTTAATACTTATTGGAACTAGTGGGCTGAATAGCTGCGTGCTGTGCAATCTTGAAAAAAAGCTAAACCCCCTATTTCCTCTCTGTGAAAAAAAAAAACACTATGACCAATATCCTCTCTTACAATGGATTATAAAGAATTTGGTGAATGTGAATGGGTAATCATATATAAATCAGGAACATTACAATGAGTCTTCGGATAAATCTAGTGGTTTTTTTTTTTTTTTTTTTTTGAAATACTCTTCATTTTGAAAGCAATTTGGAGAACGAAAATTTAAATAGTAAAGAATACTTTTTTTACTCCTTTTTAAAAATTAGAAATAAAAAGAACGTTACAGGAAAATACTGAAGAAAACACATAAGTGTTTTTCCTTTTGGACAGATGGAAATCATCCAAAAGTACAATTAATGGCCCTTCCCTCAGGCAAAAGAACCATCTGTGGTAGAGCTTATTCATGAAGCTCATCAGCTGTCCTGACCTCCTACATGGGCTAGGGGGCACTGTAGTTTAATGCTACAGTTTTTGGTCCCTTTGTGTTCCTGTAGTTTGAAGATGAAAGCTTTGAGAGTTGAGTTTAAGACTGGAGGTTTAAGACACTAAAGGACTGTCTTAATAATTAATAACACCTTGCATTTGCATCGCATTTTGCAGTCACAAGGTACTTTCACTTATGCCATCTTTCTTACTAACAAACTGACATATAAAAAGGTGGATATTTTCAATGTCTTGATGAACAGGACCTTGAACCCGAGGACAAATGAATCTGAGGCTCAGAGACATTAAGCAGTTTTCTCAATGGTGCAGTTAGTATAGTTGCCTTCTTTTGAATTTATGTTAGTGTCCCCAGAAGATTCCTTTATTCAAAGAAATAAATTATAGGGGCGCCTGAGTGGCTCTGTCAGTTAAGTGTCTGACTCTTGATTTCAGCTCAGGTCATGATCTCAGGGTCCTAAAACCAAACCCCCGCTCCCTGGGCTCCTCACTGCATGAGGAGCCTGCTTAAGATTCTCTTCTTCCTTCTCCCTCTGCCCCTCCCCATCCTGATAAAGAAAGAAAGAAAGAAGAAAGAAAGAAAGAAAGAAAGAAAGAGAGAGAGAGAGAGAGAGAGAGAGAAAGAAAGAAAGAAAGAAAGAAAGAAAGAAAGAAAGAAAGAAAGAAGTTATAAATTTCCCATTTATAGTTGCTCAGGTAAAGGTCTTCCCCAATCAAATTATGTCACTGTATGTTCCAGAAAAAAATGTATCTACATGAGTATGAATGTACAGGCAGAGAATATTCAGTAATAGAATATTCCAACCTCTGCCTGGTCTATAGAGGATCATTCCTGAAAAAGCAGCATGTAGCCTCTGGAAGAGAATGGCATCCAAGAGGCAACTGAGTGTTACATGCATGCATTGGAATTCTGTTCAACCCCAAAAAAGGAAGGCATCCGCTTTATTTAAAGGGGTATGCCCCACCCTTCCCCAATTAAGGGTTATCTGGACTATCAAGACCTCAGATAGAAACAGTGCTTATCTCTGGATCGAAAACAAGTGATTTTTATTTTAATTGTACACTTTTTACTGTCTCCCCTAAAATTATTTGTATGCATTATATTCATAAAGGAAAAAAATGCAACTGTTTTTATTTTAAAAAGGAATAACATCCAAATAAAGGCATAGCTGATGCTGGCTAGACATGGGGTTGTGGACATGCCGGCCAGCCTGAGAGATGCTTACGTATGTCATGTCCAAGAAAGGACCCAGCCGCTTTTGGGGAAGGACCTGGTTCACACCCCTGAACTTTATCTGTCTCTAAGTTGCTCAGAGAAGCTGGGGGATCCTGAGAGGGACTCAGGTCACTGCTTGCCAGAGAGAAATACACCTTTCACGATTAAAACAAAAGATATCCAAAAACCAGTTACATATTTTGAGTGAAAACATTATGGTAGGTGGAGAATTTTCTCTCAGCTCAAATATCCAAATAGCTGCCTGCCTGGATCTCTCCTCTCCGAGCCTTGCTCAAAAGTTTGTCAGTGTAGTTTCCCTCCATAAGAGTTGTCACCATCTGACACGCTACTGTAGAAATCTGTTTATTTTGATCTCTTCTACTGGGATATAATCTCCATGAGGGCAGGGATTGCTGTTCGTTTTTCACTGCTGTATCCACCATCCCTACAGGGTATCGGGCACCCACTCCTACTCAATAAATATTTGTGAATGAATGAGTGAACATCCTGAATACAACCATATTGTGTGTAAAACATCATACTTTTCTATGTGCCTGCAGTCAGTTCTTTGAGGTTGATGACGTTTTATACAAAATGTTTACACAAATTGAATTTGTCCATGCTTAGCAGCAGCTGTTCCTAAATGCTATGCAATACGGATGCCAGGTGTTACTGCAGGCCACAGTTTGTGAGCTTGCTTGTCCTTTCAAGTTCTCAGAGCTGAATGTGGCAGTGATTTAGCATGGAGTTATCACAGCCTAGTTGTGTCTTCCAGTGCTTTCCCCTGAGCCTTAGTTTAGTCCATTTTCATTTCTTACTATATTGCAGCAATAAAATTTTATCCAGTGTTCCTAATTCCAGCTTGCTCGAATCCTATCCATTCTCCATATTAGATTATTATCTTTTAATAATAAAATCACATTATCAACTCTACTTCAATTAAAAAAAAAAAGAAATGAGGTCAAATAGGTCACATGGAGCCTAATTCAGTAGGACTTTGTAGACCATATCATAAGGATTTTGACTTTTATTCTGACTTATACTGGATGCCTTTGGAATAACATGTTTTGACATATTTTAACAGGTTTACTATGACTGATGCATAGAGAATGGATAAAAGAAAGCAAGGGAAGATGCAAGGTGACCATTTAGGAAGATTTTGTGATAATCTAGAAAAGAAATGGTGGCTCGGATCAGGTAGGAGCTGTGGAGGTGGCAAAACGTGGTCAGAGTCTGTACGTATGTCAAAATAGGTCAGTAGGGTTTGCTGTGGGTTGGATAGGTGATAGAAGAGAAATAAAAAGATAATGCATTGGGTGTCATACGCAAACAATGAATCATGGAACACTACATCAAAAACAAATGATGTATGTATGGTGATTAACATAATAAAATTAAAAAATTAAAAAAAAGATAATGGATTACTGAAGATTGGGGGACTGAGCAATTGAAAGGTTGGGATTTCCACTAGCTGATGTGGAGAAGTCTGTGGAAGAACATGCTTTGGGTGGGGATTAGGAGATGGTCAATATGGAGCATCGTAGTCTACAATTCTATTACATATTCAAGCGAAATGTTTATAGAAGTTTGGCTGTATAGGTCTGGAGTTCAGGGGTGATGTTTGGGCTTTATATTTAAATTTGGAAGTCATCATTTTATAGATGGTAATTTAATCCATGAGGCCAGAGGATATCTTCAAAAGAGTATACTCCTTTGGAAGAAGAGAAGAGGGTCAACACTGAGCCCCGGGACATTGTAAGAGCAAGGGGCCAAATACATGGGTACTTGGTGACTAAATATTTGTTGAAAGCATAACAATTTGTTGAATAAGTATTTGTTGACATATGAATGATATTTGGTGGAAGGCTATTTATTTTAAGCCTGAGTTTGCCTTTGTCTGATATATAACCACCCACCGTTAAAACAGTTTGAAAAGGGGGAAAATAAGTAATTGGTCTATATGAGAACAAATGCCTAGTTCAATTAATCTATGTAGTCTTTTGATTAATTTTTTAGATTGTGTAGACACTGTTATAAACTCATAAATCATTTTTATTCCTAGATTCTCACTGGATGCTTCCATTGAAATTAAATG